CTCACCTCTCTGACCTCATGTTTGTCACCTGTGAGATCGGTATGACTCTCATCTCTGTCTCAAAGCTGCAGGACCTGAAGTAGAGGGTGGGGTGTGTTGTCATCAGTTCTCATTATGTCACACGTGGATCTCCAAGCGAGTGTGCCCCTCCACCTGCTCCACTAGAGCTGGCATTTTTCTGGGGGTGGCATCCCATAACAAGGGCTCCTTAATTAGGTCTTGGCTTTAGCCTTCTCTAGGGCTGTTCTCAGATGGGGATGATGAGGTACCCGAGTGAAGAGGCTGAGCTGGGGGCCAGGGGTTGCGGGGAGGGATGGGAATGGGTTGGACCTAGGGCAGAGGAACCCATGGTCCTTGGGTGGAAAATCCTGGAGGCTTCCTAATATCAGAGGGAACAGAGAGCCGACTGTAGTTTCAAGGATTTCTCTGTCTCCCACCCCCTACACTCACACAGCAAGTCTACAAGTTAGACTTGAGCAGGGACTTCCAGGTGGCAAATGGAGCCTTTGCAGAGTAGCGGGAGGCTTGGGATGTGCCTTTGTGAGGGCTGACAGGGCTGTGGGAGATTAAGAAGAGCCAACATGAGCAGGCAGGGCTGAGGGCCAGGGAGGTAGGAGGAAAGGCTGTCCAGAAGTGTAGGTAGGCCTTCTTCCTTTGGGCAGAAGAGGAGATGCAAGCCTGACCAGTGGGGTGCTACCCTCATTGTAACCTTCAGGCTTCTACCACATGTCCATCTCCCCATGGTCCTGCAGGCTAGAGGGGGAATGCTCTGTATTTGGGGCTGGGGAAACTGAGGCATGAAGGATTGCCTCAGAGCTCAAAAGCAAACGGTGAGAGAACCGGGGCCATGACCTGGCTTACCCAACATGCCTGGCCTGACTTGTCCGTGACGTTCACGCTTATGCTGGCAGATGATGACAGTAAAAACAACAACACAGCTATCCTTAGTTGAGCACCTACTGCATGTGGACCCTACACTGACCCCTTCACATAGGTTCTCTCCAGGACCTGACGAGGTGGGGGCTGTCAGCAGCTGCATTTCAGTGGCTAGGGGTTGGGCTCAGCGAGGGTCAGCAACCTGTCTAAGGTCACCTAGGCTGGAGACAGCAGAGCTAGGACGGGAATCCCTACTCCAAAGCCTACTTGGACCCTGGCATGGCCTGAGCCTGTGTCTGTGAGATGAGGGGCTCCCCTTGCCCCATTACACACAAGATGCGTAGTGTTCTAGTTGAGCCAGCCCCCTCCCCCATGCCCAGCGCCTTAACTCTCCTAGGACCCTCTGGTATCTCAAGGCACTTTCCAGGTTTGAACCTAAGAGCCTTGGAACTGCTAACCTAACCCCTTAACTCCAGGGGAGAGGGTGGTTGGGTGGGCGGGGGACCCCCTGGGGAGCAGATGGATGCCCCTTGGGGTTTCTGGGTTCTTCTGTAGACAGGTTCTGGGAAACTCCATGGTTAGGTCCGGGGAAGCTGCCTCGGGGCCTGGTCAGGGTTGCTTACCTTCTCCACCCCCTCCCCAGGGGCTCCATTTCCCTCTCCTGGGCACCCTTCAGGGAGGAGTTGAGTAAGTGCCCTTGAGCTGGCACTTCCTCTTTGGTATACAGGGACATAGCCACAATGACCCCCTATCCCGTGGTCCGTGTGTCACTTAGCACCAGGCGCTGCATGGCCCTGGGTCAGGGCTCACTAAAGTTCACTTCGTTGGGTTGACTTTACTACAGGCTGGTCCCAGCCTCAGGTCATTTCCCCTTTCTGGTCTCAGTTTCTTCATCTGTGAAATGACTGTGCAAGTCTGCCCTGCACATTCTCTGAAGCAGGGGTAAGTCCATTCCCTGCAGACAGACACACTTAGGAGCTTTGTGACTGGTGTTCCAGTTCCCCAGGCCCAGAGCTCCTGTAGCCCTCACACCTGCACAGGGGTCCAGGGGAAGAAGGGTGGGCTGTAGAGTTGGGCCAGCCTGCATTTCAGCGTCGCCTCCACTGTCCACACTTGCTTGACCTTGACCCACACCAGTGCCCCACTCAGCTTTGAGCCTCAGTGTCCTCATCTGCAAAACGGGAGAATCATGTTGCCTACTTCTGTGGGTTGCTGTGAGCATCAATCAAGATGATGTGGACAGAGCACCTGGCACAGAACCGACAGAGGGTGGTGACAGCGGAGCGCCTCCCCCCCAGACTATCCTCCTGGTCACTGTACCCCAGCCTTGGTCTTGAGGATTCTGGGAAGGAGACAGTGCCGATCTGCTGGCTCAGCCAGCTTGGCCACTGACCTTCAGAGCACCCAGGCTGTCAAGGCCGCCGACTGCCTGCCGGGCGGGCAGGGGGGAGTGCCAGCCAGCTCCTCGCCTGACGCTGCCCGCTCCTGCTCCCACTCTCCTCTCCCTCTCTGCGCCTGTGTGTGAGCTAATTAATCTCAGCCCCTTTGGGAAATTAGAACGCCGCAGCCGCGGCCTTCTCAGCCTCGCGGTACCTGTGCTGCTACTGGGCCATGCCAAGACCCGCTGTGGTTTAGGGGCAATGGGGTGGGGGATGGGGCATCCCGATGAGCTGGGCTGACCATGGGTCTCCCTGAGCCCCCACCTTCTTGCTGGAATGCTCTAATCTCTCAGCCCCCTCCCTTCCCAGATAGGATCCATAAGGATGCCAGGCCAGTGCCCGACTGTAGTGAAACTTAACCCCCAGTGGCCTCTCTGACCTGGCCCCAGGGCTGGTATGGCCACCCCCTTACACCACATTCCATCTCATTGCAGGGTCCTCTTGCCTGCCCAGCTTGGACTGATGAAGACAGATGTAATTATGGAATTTTGCTTGGGAAATTAATTTGAAAAAGTTAATTAATTGGCGGTTCCGGAGGTGGCGGGCTCCACGCCCGGCCAGTCTTGCTGACGTCAGTGCTGACCCACTGGAGATGTACAGCTTCCGGGCAGGCTGGGGAGAGGGACCCCAGTGACCTGGCTGGGCAGCCCTGAGACAGGTAGATGGACAGCGAGGAGCAAAGGGCAGACCAGTGTCCTGGCCCAGAGTCGGCACCTGGGAAGGGTTTGTTGACCAGACCTGCTGAGGATAAGAACTTGGCCACTTGTTTGTGTGTTCAACAAGCCATTTTCAAGCTGCTATGGTACACTGACCCCAGTGTCCAAAGTGCCCCCAGCCGAAAATAGACCAGTTCTTCCAAACCCCTTTTCTCAAGGAAAACCTCTAAACCTATTCTCAAAAACTTTTTCAAAGCGCTCAAAGGACATTATCGGGCCAGTGTGCAGATGAAGCCACTGAGGCTCGGAGAGGGTGAGCCTTGCCCGCCTCCTCAGCAGTGTCCTCCAGCAGGGTGGAGCAGGGGCAGGTAGAACTTGGTCTCATTTCCAGAGGATGTGTGCCCCAGCTTCAGAATCCCATGGGCGGCCTCCTCCCAAGTATGGGTGATAGGGACCTTGAAGTTGACTCTTCCCAGGAAGGAAGCCACAGAATATGGCCAGCCCCCTCACCCCCATCACCCCCATCCCTGTGTGTGCCTGTGGGAGCTTCCCCTACTACCCCATCCAAGCCTCAGAAGACCCCCATGCCCCAGGGGTCTCAGGGTACACAGACACCCCCACTACCTCCTGGACCTCCTGTGGGTCTTCTGACCACAAGCCTCGGCCGGATCAAGTCCTAGTTTCTGGAGGAGCGTGGGCTTTGGTGTGGTCTTTGTCTAGACAGGAGAAGGGTCAGGGTTGGGGCAAGAATGGCCAGGCCTGGGACAGGTCAAGGATACTGAGCCACAAAGAGGCCAGCAAGATGAGGAATGTGGGCCCTCCTGAGCTATGTGGTGTTGGGCAGGTCCCTTAGCTTCTCTAAGCCTCATTTTGCTCATCCGGGAAATGGGGATGATCATAGATGCCATTCAGAGAACTGCGGAGAGGTGCAGGGATGCATAACCACTTGAAGTGGTGCTGGCCCTGGCATGGGCTTTTTCACTGCCCACTGGAGGCAGGCTGGGTGGGAGAGCAGCGAGCTGACTGGGACTGTGCTGTGGCTGGGGCCTGAGGACCAGGTTTTGAGAGGGGAGCCTGGTGCATGTGTCAGAGGAACTGAAGGATACAAGAGATGGTATTTGTGAGACCCTGAGCCCTGCTCCAAGGGAGTCAGGCCACCCAGCATTTACCTTCCGACTTGTTTCATGTGTTCCCTCACCTTCAGGATTTCCAGGGGCCAGGTGGGCCCTGCTCAGTTCAGTATGCCTCACCTCCCATAGCTGTTCAGGATCAAAGGGAGCATCATGGGCAGGCTGAGCTGGGCACTTTGCATCCCTGTCACTCCGATGTGGTCTGTAGTTCTGGGTTTCTTCAAGGTCCAACCCCAGTCTTGGGTTTAAGTGGACCACACCCACTCCTGAGCATCCTGTGTGGGCTGGTTATGGGGTCAGAGGAGAGGCATTTCTTCCTCCCACCTCACCTCCTCCAAGAAGCCCTCCGGGTACTGCTCCCCAGCACTTTACCCATTGACTGAGCGCTCAGGGTTCTCTGCACAGACTTTGTTAAACCATGGGGTCCATGGTATCTCCTGTCTATCCTAGTGCCTGGCACTGGGTTAGCACTCAATGTGGGGGCATAGGGCTCATGTGCTCCTATTTTACAGAAGGGTCAGTTAAGGCCCTGCGAGGTCGCACAGCCTGTTGAGGGGCAGAGCCAGCCTGGCTCAGGTGGGTGTGGGGCCACTTGGTACCGACTGGGGTCTTTTTTCAGGCCTCAGGACCATTCCCAGGCTTCCTTAGGCCCTGCAGCTCCTGACCCTCCTGGCAGGCACTATTCCTGGAGGGTGAATAGTCAGTCCCGTGCTCTTGAGAGCTTGGGGGGTTGGGGGCTAAGGGATTGTGGCATCAGACTGAGGGTCAGAGGGCAGGTCTTTGAGCCTCAGTTTCTTCATCTGTAAAAGAGACACTAGTGTTTGGGGGAGCAGGGGTGGCTGAAAGAGATCACGTATATGTTGTTCTCGCCATCCTTATTATTACTACTGACACTGTTATTTTGTTATCATCACATTATTATTCATGCTCCCAGGGCCCCAGCAGCTGCGGTGGCTTCAGGCCTGGATGCAGAGCTCTGGTGTGCTGAAAAGAAGTTGCAGTTCCTAATTAGTCCGCGCTCCAAGGAGAGGGCCTGGGTTTTAATTTTTGCTGCAGGGTCCCACCTGCCCGAGGCTTCCCAGCCCCTCTCATCCCTTCCTGGGCTGGGGCTGCGGCACCCTCCCCGACCTCAGGTAGGGAGCCTGGCCCCAGGCAAAAGCCTCCCCAAATTTCCCCTGCCACTCCCTCCGCCTCCCAGACCTCTGGGGCCATGAATCATTTATGAGGCAAAAATGAAACCAATTAAGGACAAACTTTGAAAGCCTCTAATTGCTGCGCCTGGTGGCACCGAGGAATGAGGGGAGGCCGGCCTTCTCGGTGCGGAATCTCCTTGGCCCAGGCCTTCCCAGGCTGCCCGTCCCGCCGCGGCTCAGGGCGCCTCCCGGCTCCCTGCCGCCTCCCAGCCGGACGCGGACGTGCCTGCGCGGCTCTGGCGGCCGCGTCTGCCGCCCCGGCGCCCGCCCGGGTCCCAGGCCGACTAATTAGGCCCGGCTCCCTCCCGCGCCGCCCACTGCCCGCTCCAGGCCCGCTGCCCGCTCCAGGCCCGAGGTGATGGCGGCTGTTCCTGCCGTTCTGGGGCCTGTGCCCCAGAGCTGGCCGCGTTTCTTGGGGCGGGAGCCAGGTCTGCTCGCCTGGCTTAACCCAGACGAGCCCAGGACGCCCTGTCCCTGAACCCCATCGTGGCGTGCAGGTCTGAGTAGGCTCTGGGCCATGCCGCGGTACCTGGGTTGGAGGCTCTCTTCAGTCTCCAGGAGAGAGAAGCTTATCCCAGGCGGAGCGGAGAAGGCTGGGGGATGACTGATGATAGGGGGAGTCACGAGGCGGTGTTGAGCCCTGAGGTGTTGCACTGAGCACGGATCTAGTTCCTCTTGGCTTTGCCACAAACACAGTGACCTTATGTAGATTCCTTAGCCTCAGTTTCCCCGTTTGTAAACCATCAGCACCAGCCCATTTTCTCCTGAATTTGGGATTTAGGGAGCTGGGCTTTGTATCCCCCGGCCAGTCTCCTCTCTTAGGGGGCTGCTGAGGGAGTGGAGGTAATGTCTGGACCCAGGAGGGCCTGCCTTACTTCCGTGAGTCCTGGGTGCCACTGGCCAGCCTGCTCGCTGTGCTGAGGGCCAGGCAGGCCCTGGGCACTCAGGCACGTTGTTTGCTGAAACCAAATTTCCGTGCTTGTGTTTTTCCATAATTATATTAGCAGGTGGGATTTTTCCTCGGGGAAGCAGTGGGAGGGGGAGTGCCATGGCAGTGTCCCCGCCCGCTCTAAGCGTGAGCTCACACTCAGCTCTGCCCGCCTGCCGTAATGATTTTTTAATTATGCAGCCAGTGCTCGGAATTGCTAATCCACCTCCAGCCCAGCATCCCCTCCTGCAACTCACCCCAGCCCCTGGCTGATGTCCCTAGAGTGGCGGTGCGCAGCCCCGTGCCCATCACTGAGTGCCTGGGACAACTGCTGTAGCGGGAGAGAGGGTAGGTCAGGAAGGGCCGGAGGGGCGCCTCTCCCCCATCTGCAAGTGACAGGACTTGTGGCTCTCTTTGTCTCCCATCCTACCCCTAGACCCAGCACAGCTCGCACCCGCCAGGACAGCTGTGACTCTAAATGAGTTTGGGGAGTGATCAGTGCCAACACCGAGTGATGTGGCCACACCCATTTCAGGGACATGAGCCTGTCTTCCCAGCCTTGTGTGACCCCGAGGACACATGCACACAAGTACAATTTTTGTCACACCAACACTCACGCTTTACTTCCCTTCTCCACACACACAGCCCCGCAGCCAAGCTACACACACACAATGGCAGGCTCTGCGTGCTTCTCACACATGTAGCCTTACCTGAGGGCAGGGGCACCCTCAGAAGACCCCACTGCTGCCTTTTGTGCCCTGCAGTGGCCCTGCTCCCACTCCCTTGCCTCCAGACACCCCTACCCCATCCCCCCTACTGGGAGGTGCTCCGAGTCCTTCTGGCTCCCACCTCATGGGGTGGCTGCCTCTGGCTGGGGCCAGCTTGAGCCTCCATCGACCCTGGCCTGGGGGAGGTGCTGGGGGGGTTCTGCAGCACTGTGGCGCAGCTCCTCTCCAGGCGCCCAGCTGTGGCATCTGTCAAGGTCAGATAGCGACTCCGGAACTAGCCGGCTTGGCCCCATGGCCCCTCTCGCCTCATTATTTTTGTGTTCCGGGGCTGCGGCGACACCTCCCTCCCTCCTCCTCAGCCTCCCGCCTCTTGCCTGCCTCCCCGACGCCTCTGCAGGGAGGGCCTGCGGTCTGGGGGCTTTTGTTTTCCAGTTTTTTCCACGCTCAGGCCAGGCAGGCGGTAGACACTGGCCAGAGCTGTTGGACCTTGAACAGCAGACAAGGCAGGTGTCCCCCTTACAGCTGGGACAGATTCTAGGCTAGTGGAACCCTGGGTTGGTTTCATAGAGGCACAAACTGAACCTGGATGGAACCCAGCCCCCACCACAGCCCAGGTGCACCTGTGGGCAGCTTCCTGTTTCCATAGGGGCCCTAGCAGCTGGCACCAGTTCCTGTCTACACCATCCCCGTTCCATGAGGGCCCCAGACTCTCATACAGCCCAGAGCTCCTGACACAACTCACAGTGCACATGAACACACACACACTGACATTCATGCAGCAAAGATAATGTTGACATGTACAGACCAGAAGAACCCACAAACATTCTCTCACCACATAAACCACCCTATTCGCACACGCGTGCACTTGGACATCCATATACATTCACAGACGTGGGTGGCACACACATGCCTCCACTTTACCCTCAGAGGTCACAGAGTCAAAGATCTCCCCCAGCACTGGTACATGATCCCCGTATATGCTTTAATGCTGTGGTCTGTAGAGGGCGACATCTGAGACTACACACTCAACTGGGCACATTCAGAGTCCACTGGACGCACTCACACACAGTTGTGCAGCACACCTCCTGGGTAGACACGCGAAAACACACTGTATGCAGTGCTTTTGTCACCATACACACTCCAGCCCCCTGAGCTCACTCCCAGGTGCCCAGCATCCTTGGGCAGTTATGCCACCCGAGGGGCTTTTGTCCCCCAAAATACTGGGAAGTGAGCTTGAGGCCTCAGCTTGCTGAGCCTTGTGTGTCCGGGGAGCCTCGGAGAGTGGGAAATGGTTTGACATGGACTGCCTGGCCCACTGCCCAGCTTCACTGTGTGCACCACTCTAGGCCCAAGAGTGCCAGGATGGCGTGGGATGGGGGGGGTTCCAGGTGTGTCGTGACAGTCTTGGTGGCTGCTGGCAGAGGCAGACTCTGGGGGGTGACCTCAACTCTGTCTCTGGGTCCCTCTTCCCACCTTCAGCCCCTGATTTGGGTGTGTAAATGTTGGAGGAATGGGGTGTGGGCAGACTCCAGGCCCCCAGGGTCTCTAGAGTGGCCCTGGCCATCCCCTCTCTTCCTCCTCCAGCTGTGGACTGCTGTGGCTGCCCCCAGGAGGGGAGCTAGATGGAGGCTTAGCAGTGGCTGGGCCCCCACCCCCCAGGAAACTCAAAACCCTGGGCCAGCCGCGGGTGGCGGGTTGGGGCAGGCACAAAGAGGGCCTCTGTGCGGCCGGCTGGGCTGCCCACAGGATTCTGGGGGAGGAGGCAGGAGCCGGTTTCCGTCCCGTTCTGCTTCCTGCGGAGGCCGCCGGAATGCCCGGAGCTCTGGCCCAGCCTGGCCCGTCTGGCCCACCCGCAGCCCCTTCCCCATCTTTTCCTGGGCCATGGGGTACAGCTGCAGACTTCTCTGCAACAGGGCCCTGAGAGCCACCCTCCAGGACCCAAGGGAAACCTAGGGGATTTCCCCAAGCTGAGAGCTGAACTGAACCTCACCCTTTAGCTGAAGTCTTCCCTCCATATGCTGTGGAGCCCTCAGCCAGGGTTGGAGCACCAGGCCCTGGAGTCGTACAGACCTGGATTTAAATCCTGGCTCTGCCACTTACTGACATTGTGACCTTAGGCAGGTGACTTTATGTCCCTGTACCTCAGTTGCCTCATCTGTAAAATGAGGATAATAATAATGGTAGTAGAATCTGGTGAGAAAATGCATGTGAAATGCTTAGCACAGTGCCTGGCAAACAGTGAGTGTGTGCTATTAGGACCTGCTGTTTATTTTTATTTACTTATTTATTTATTTATTTATTTATTTATTCAAGGTGGAGTTTTGCTCTTGCTGCCCAGGCTGGAGTGCAGTGGTGTGATCTTGGCTCACTGCAACCTCTGCCTCCCAGGTTCCAGCAATTCTCCTGCCTCAGCCTCCCGAGTAGCTGGGATTACAGGCATGCGCCACCGTGCCCGACTAATTTTTGTGTTATTAGTAAAGATGGGGTTTCTCTATGTTGGTCAGGCTGGTCTCAAACTCCCGACCTCAGATGATCCACCCGCCTCGGCTTCCCAAAGCGCTGGGATTACAGGCGTGAGCCACCGCACCTGGCCAGGACCTGCTGTTTATTTTAATGTCCTCTGGGGAACTTAAGAGTAGAAGGGACTGGATGCTCCTTGCCCCAATGGGTCTCACCTCTTCTAGGGTTCAGTCTCAGCCCTGCGTCCTGCTCAAAACCCTTCTCTCAAATCAGTTTCCTACCTGCAGATCATATCAGTGACTGATCGGGGCCTCTGGGGCCTTCCTCCTGAGGTCTGGAGGGTGGAGGGGATCACTGTCTGGAATCCTTTTTTTATTCCCTCTGTATTTCTACCTCCTTCCCCATAGTATGCCCTGGGATCGTGACTCCTCCAGTAGTTTGGGGTGAGGAGCAAGAGCCATTTGTTTCCATTTTACAAATGGGAGACAGGCTTAGTAGGGGAAAGAGCTTGGTAAAAGTCACTAGTCAGGGAGGGACAGGGTGGAGCCACAAACCTAGACCTCAGGACTCCAGTTCCCTAGCCAGTCCTATGCACATATGCCTCCCCAAACCCCAGACACGCAAACACACCTCACATAGGAGCCCCAGAAGAACAGTGCCCCATCTCTGATTTCTTGGCTCATGTATCCCTGGGCTAGCCTTCCCTGGCTTGTCCCATGGTGAGGCCCATCAGGAGGGAGGTCCTGAGGGGGTACATGGGCCCTAATTTCTGATTGGTGTCAGCTCAGAGATCACCACATTGGGAAATGTTTACTACAAGATTCAGGGGATCCCAGATAGGCAGGGCGTCATCACACCTGCTTAATAAAATTGCCTGCTCTAAATGGGGCAATAATAGGACTTCCTTTAGAGATGGGGTATGAGGATAACGTGAGATAAAGCATAGACAGTGTGGCACGTAGGAAGAGCCCCGTACCTGTTAGCTGTGGTTGGTCCTATGTGACAAATGGGAAAACTGTCTCGGAGGCCAGTTTTTTCCCACGGTCAAAAAATGAGGAAGGGTCTTCCTGAACTTTGACTCTTCCAGAAAAGGAACCTGGCCTGAGAGAGGTGCCTATTGAGGAAAGGGCCTGTCTTTATCAGAGGCATACCAGGCATCTCACTTCCTAGAGCCCCAGGTCAGAACATACATCCTGGCTGGGCGCGGTGCCTCACGCCTGTAATCCCAGCACTTTGGGAGGGTGAGGCGGGTGGATCACAAGGTCAAGAGATCGAGACCATCCTGGCTAACATGGTGAAACCCCGTCTCTACTAAAAATGCAAAAAATTAGCCGGGCGTGGCGGCGGGCGCCTGTAGTCCCAGCTACTTGGGAGGCTGAGGCAGGAGAATGGCGTGAACCCTGGAGGCGGAGCTTGCAGTGAGCCGAGATCGCACCACTGCACTCCAGCCTGGGCGACAGAGCGAGACTCCGTCTCAAAAAAAAAAAAAAAAAAAAAGAACATACATCCTGCCCGGGGCCTCAGTGTTGCTGTTCATGAATGGGCTGATCCCCTCCTCCAGCTGTGTTGGGGAGCCCTGTAAAACAGAACAGAGTCTGGCTGGGTGCGGTGGCTCACACCTGTAATCCCAGTACTTTGGGAGGCTGAGGTAGGTGGATCACCTGAGGTCAGGAGTTCAAGACCAGCCTGGCCAACATGGTGAAACCCCATCTCTACTAAAAATACAAAAATTAGCCAGGTGTGGTGGTGTGCGCCCGTAATCCAAGCCACTCTGGAGGCTGAGGCAGGAGAATTGCTTGAACCTGAGAGGTGGAGGTTATAGTGAGCCGAGATCGGGCCTTTGCACTCCAGCCTGGGTGACAGAGCAAGACTCCGTCAAAAAAAAAAAAAAAAAGAGGGAGAAAACAGAGCTGTACGTACTCCAGGTTTGCTCAAACCCTTGTGTCCCAGCACAAACCCTTTAGTCCTCAGGCCAAGGCATGGTTGGTACCTGCCCCGGGAGGAGCGGTGTAAGAGGGTCAGGGGTGTGGAGTCAGGGACATAGAAATGCTGTCCCTTGTTCTGTCTTTGGCAGTCAGTCTTGGGGTGACTCTGGTGGGGTTGAGGCCATGTCTCACCCCAGTCAACCCACTGGGTGCTCACAGTGGCCAGTGTGTGGGGGTGTGTGTGTCCATCCATAGCTGGATGTGTGCCTTGTGCTCTCCGCCTGGGGCTGCATTTCTCCCTGCCTCCAAGACCAGTCTCCCTGGGCTTGAGCAGGACTTCTTTTTTTCCCTCTGGAAACTCCCCAGGCTGAATCATGGAAATCAGAGACGGAACACCCTCCCTTCCACCCCACTGCCCGGCTTGGTTCAACCACCATAGCCTGTGGTCTGCTTTGCGCACCATCAGCCTGTCTGCCTATTTTGCCTCACTTGGAGGCCAAGGAGACCAGCCCACCAAGGTGGTGGGGAGGGGGCAAGTCGGGGGTGTCAAGTGCTGCATGGAAGCGTGGAAAGTGGTGCATTGAGCCAGGATGTGCAGCTCTGCTGGGCTGGTGTTGGTGGTCCTGAAACACAGCCTCTTCCACAAGCCTCCCTGGGTAGGCAGGATGGCTGCAAGGCTGGTCAGCCAGCAAGGAATAGAGGGGGATGGTACCTTGGTCAAACCCTGCCCTTGGTAGTGGTGATGGTTGCATAACTCTGTAGATTTACTAAAAGTCATTAAATTATATGTATACTTTAATGTGGTAGAATTTTATAGTATGTAAACTATACCTCGATAAAACCATTTTTTAAGAATCCTGCCAGCCAGGCGCAGTGGCTCACGCCTATAATCCCAGCAGTTTGGGAGGCCCAGGTAAGAGGATTGCGTGATCCTCATAGGAAGACCTCATCCCTACTAAAAAATTTAAAAAATAATAATAATAAAAATCCTGCCCTTGGCCTCAAGGCTCTGCACAGTTGGGACCCTGTCAGCCTCACAGACATACCTCACGCCCACTTCCCCGCCTGCCTAGGCTCTCTTTCATGCCTTTGTCCCCTCTCGTTGCTTCTCCTTATCCTTAACTCTCAGCCTAGCAGTCCCTTCCTCCAGGAAGGCCGCAGATAGTTCACTGTGTCCCCTTCCGGCTCTTGTTTCACACTGGTTCATGTGACTATGGGCCCAGCTCCTGTGTGCTCCTGGAAGACAGTGCTGGAGTCTGAGTCTGTGCTCTGCTGTCTCTCCGGTATCATAAGGTACAGGGCTGCTCTCCGGGTACGTGCAGGGAAGATGTGTGCAAATGAATATCTAGAACATCCAGCTGTGGGCCACCTGTGTACATGTCTGTATGCAGATGGCACCATCTCATCCCAGGATGTCCCCTCCTTCCCAGTGCTTTCTGGCCCAAAAGTTCAAGATTGAACCCTGCAGGGGGTGAAGTGAGGCTCTTCTTGGGCTGAGGGTTGAATAAGGGCACTGCCACCACCTCCAGTGACCTCACTGCCAGCTGGCATTATGATGTCACTGGCTTAGCATTCCGGGCCCTGGGCATCTCCAAGTCCCCCAGGTGGGGGCACTCTCCTGGGGTCTGTGACAGCTTGCCCCCAACCACGGAGAGGTGACAGGCACGGTAACAATCCTGGGGAGTAAGAGCAGCCTTAGGGGTACCTAGGTCACCTGCCGTGGGCCACTTTGTCAGTTGCCAAGGTGGCCACAGAGCAGGGTGACTAACACTTGGGCTCTGGGTTCAAGCTCTACCCCTGCTAGGCACCAGCTGTTTGACCTCAGACTGACAGCTTGAACCTCTCTGAGCCTAAATTTCCTCATGTCTGAAATTGGCAATTAGTTTTTGTCTCCCCAGGTTCTAGGGAGGCATTCAGGAGCTAAGACTTGTAAAGCATAAAAACACAGGGCATGGGACACAGTGGATACTCAGTAAATGCTAGTTGATAGGATCCATTGGTTAAGGAAACCGGAGTGGCAACACAGGTGGTAGGGGCTGGCTAGAAGGGGGCAGGCTTCCTGCCTTCTGGGGCTGGCCAGAGCCTTAGGGTAGAGGCACGGGGTGGCCTCTACTGCCAGGAGGGTGGCCCCAGGTATGACTCTCCCTCTCTTTCCAGCTCAGCCAGTGAGCTGGAGCCTACAGGAGGCATTGGGTCCTGCAGCCATGCTCTGGGGTCAAGAACCCATTGCCCCACCTCCTCCTCAGTCCTCAGCAGTCCTCCTCCCCACCTCCTCCTCAGCCCTCCTCCCCAGCCTCCTCCCCACCTTCCCCCAAGCCCTCCTCCCCACCTCCCCCCTAGTCCTTCTCCCCACCCTCCTCCCCATCTCCTCCCCACCTCCTCTTCTCAGGCCTTGGGCTACACAGTGGGTCTGATCTGGTGTCCTCGGCACTTCTCCTCTACCCTTCCCTCTGCGTCCCTCTCCTATGGGCATGCCCAGCTGCCTTCTGGGACTCCCTCCTCAAGGCTGTTTACTTGTCTTTTAGACCCTTAAGTCCCTGAGCCTAGACAAGGTGTCCTGGGTCCCTGGGTCTCTGAACCCTGTTGCCCCAGACACTGCTTCCCATGACACTGTCTCCACTAACCTTGACCCTCTGCCCCCTCCTCTCGAGCTCTCCTTTTCTCTGACCCACCCCTCTAGTTCTCTGTCTCAAGATTCTGTCCCCACCACCTGTCTCTGTTCTGCCCCCACATGCCCCTCTGCCCCCCAGCTTTCCGTAACTTGTCCCCCCCTCAGCCCCCCGTGCTCTGTCCCCGCCCGTCAGCCCCTGGTCCCAGCGCCCGGCTGGCCGGCTCCTGCATGGACAAAGGGGTCCTTTGTGGGCTGACCGCGGCTGGCGGGGCGGCGGGGCGCTGGCTCCGCATTGCTGATGAAACGGAGCCCTTTGTTGTCCCTCCTCAGGCGCAGTATTTCTTTTTGGGGGCTGGATGCGTTCCTGGCAGGGCCGATGATGGATGCGCCCGCCGCCGCCCGCCTGCCCGCCAGCTTTCCCTCCCGCTCATTCCCGCTCTGCTTCAACACAGCCCTGACTCCTCCCCTGCTGCCTGGGCACTGCCAGGCCCTTCCTGGCCTGGAAGGGGGTGGCTGTGCGCCCTAGAGTAGAAGGCTGGGACCTGGGAGAACGTCCCCTCTATGTCCTCCCCTTCCATGAGTAGGGCAAATGGGATTTTTGGTCAGTGGTCCACTGGGACCAGGGCATCAGTTTTTCCTAAGGTCTGAAGGAGAAGATGAGCCAGGTACCAGGGCCGATTTGGAACAAGCTTGAGGACCAGATGTTCATGTCTGTCCACTCTGGATTTGAAAACAGAGTTGTCCCTGTGAGCCAGTCCCCCTGTGTACCCACCTCCCTCCTACTTCTGTGACTGAAAAACCATAGTGTTCTGCCTGCAGCACCTGTTTGGTGACATATCACATCCTCTGGTCCCAAGCTCAGCATGTCCCAGGACCTCAGAGGGTGGGGGTGGGTGGGCCCTGAGGAAGGACAGAATAGTGGAAGATCAGAGAAATTCCAAGAGAGGAACAGAACATGAGGTTTGGTCCCCACCAGGAGAGACTCAGGACAGAGACAAAAGCCGAGACACTCAGCCAGAGCGCCAGCCCTGAGCGCAGGCTGGCTGTGTTGGAGGGAGCTGACTTCTAATTGACCTGCCCGCCCCGCACGCAGAGCCAGCTCCTGGAGCTGGGAGGAGGGAGGGGGCGAGCGAGCAGAGCAGGAGCAGCGTTAATGCAGCTATCGATTTCTGCCACCAGCCAGCAGGCCGCAGAGGCGGGGGATGCACACAGGGTCTGGGGCACAGCCTGCCCTCCTCCCCATCACGCCAGCCCACAAGACACCTGCCTTCTGCCTTCTCCCCTCACCCAGTATCTGGGCTGCCGGCGTTGTCATCCGGGGCAGGGCAGATGTGCTTAGTTGAGCAGGAGCTGGATGAGCTGACTTGATGGTTTCTGTCTCTGATCTCACTGACCCTGGTCCCCAACACCTAGCCAGGGTCACTGATTCCTGTAGGGGTCACCAATCTCTGAGGAGAGGGGCTGAAAAAACCATCCTGGTCTTGGCCCTTATTAAGTGGGAAGGAACACAGCTATCCTTGGACACACATGGTCTTCTTGCTTCAGCTCTGACCTCTGATGCCCCCCAGCCCAGCATGGATTTTCTGCCAGGGCCCCCCGGCTCTGTCCTGGTGGAATCTGCCAGCTTGCCCAGCTCTTCCTCCCCACCCATTTCCCCCTGCAAGGAAGGAGCCCTAGGTGGTTCGGTGCCCACTGGGGAGGGAGAGGGAGTACCTGGCTGTTGATGCCAGCTACTCTTCTTACCCTAGAGACAGAGCTTTTCCTTTCCCCACACGCAGTCCTCTTTGGCCACTCCTTAGTCCTGGGGAAGTCTCCCTCTCCCCTACTTGGGGGCCTCAGTTTCCCCCTCTGTAAATGCAGAGGGTTGGACTAGATGCTCTCTTGGGACAGGCTTGAGTCCTGTGACTAGGGGGGTGGTGGGGTTGCCTGGGGACAAAGATCCAGTGTGTGCTGCCCTCAAGCCCAGGGCGCAATGGGGCCCGCCAGATGTGCGCCTCCCCCTTGAGCCACCAGCTGCTCTGGGGCTGGGCCCTGTCCTCCCACCCCTCTCCTGGGGGATGCTAGGCCACAGCAGGCAGACGGAAGGGAGGCTGGAGAGCCAGGACTGATGAGGAAACCGCCGCCCTGCTCCATCTGGCCCAGTTCCTTCAGCTGAGGAGGCAGCTCAGACGCCTTAGCCTTGAGACCTGAGTAGAGCAGGCCCTGTCCCATGAAGGGCTGCCTCGGAAACATGGAGGTGGCCAGAGGACAGGTTCCTGCTGGGCTCCACTCCCTTGAGGGTCATGCCTACTCCTCAGTGCCAGCTTGCCCCAGCCAGAGGCCCCTCCTGGCAACAGCCCACCCCGGCTCTCTGGGTTCTCACTGAGGCCTCCACCCAGGCCCTACTCTGCAGGCCTTGTGAGGCCTCCACCCCCCCGAATCTGGGAGCGAGGCCAGAGCACCACAGTGAGGCCTGAGTAGAGACAAGAATGGGGTCTGAGACGATAATGATTGTGGTTCGGGGGTTGAGGAGGAAGCGTGTGCCAGGGTGTGCACAAGCATGTCCTCTCACTGTGGCAGGGGACGGTTTGTCCTCTGGCCCTGTGCTGCTCACCCTGTAGGAGGGGAGAAGATCCCTGAAATAAGTGTTCTGCACTCATTAGCAAACTCTGGGTTACACAAAGGCAACCAGGTTCCTTTGCCTGCAGGACATGTCAGAGCCTTGAAATAACTGATGTGTATTAGGAATCCCCAGATGAGGATTCAGGGGCCGCCTTCCAGACTGTATGATCTGTACCATTAAGCACTCTTCCCCTCGGACAGAGAAGGAAGATTAGGATGTGGAGGTAGTTTTTTTGTTTTTGTTTTTGTTTTTTGTTTTTTGTTTTTTGTTTTTTGTTTTTGACAGGGCTTCACTGTCCCCAAGCTGGAATGCAGTGGCATGATTATAACTCATTGCATCCTCAACCTCCTGGGCTCAAGCAGTCATCCCATCTCAGTCTCCTGAGTAGCTGGGACTACAGGCATGTACCACCACACCTGGTTAACTTTTGTATTTTTTGCAGAGATAAGAGCTTCACCATGTTGTCCAGGGTGGCCTCAAAACTCCTGAGCTCAAGCGATCTGCCTGCCTCTGCCTCCCAAAGTGCTGAGATTACAGGCGTGAGCCACTGCACCCAGCTAATAAGCATCTCCAACACTCTCCCACCCCAGCACGAGAAGGACTGCCTGCTTCCGGCAGGTTTTCCTACACTCTAGCAGGGCACATTTGGGCTGCGGAGGCCTGGACTAGGGCCTCCACCATGCCACTTGGTGTCTGTGTGTTCATAGAGTGGTAGTTCTCCTAAATCTTGTTTCCATCATCTATAAAGTAGAGAATTACCAGCCACTGCTTCTAGAGTTCTTGTGGATCTTAACTGAGATAGTACAAATAAGAAATTTCTCACCAGGGTGGATCTGATGCTTAATAAATGCCTGGTCAAGCTCATGGTGGTCAGGATGACAGGACAGTTGATAGTGGCGGTGGTGGCGATGTTGAAGAGGGAGGTGTTCACTGCTGCCCTGACCCTATATCCTCTTCTTGTGACAGAGTGAAGACATTTCCACCTGGACACCTGACCATGTGCCTGCCCTGAGCAGCGAGGCCCACCAGGCATCTCTGTTGTGGGCAGCAGGGCCAGGTCCTGGTCTGTGGACCCTTGGCAGTTGGCAGGCTCCCTCTTCAGCAGGGTCTGGGCCTCGGCCCCACCATGTCGAGCCTCGGCGGTGGCTCCCAGGACACCGGCGGCAGTAGCAGCAGCAACACCAATGCCAGCGGTGGCAGTGGCAGCAGTGGCCCAAAGGCAGGAGCAGCAGACAAGAGTGCAGCAGTGGCTGCCGCTGCACCAGCCTCCGTGGCAGATGATGCACCACCCCCCGAGCGTCGAAACAAGAGTGGTATCATCAGCGAGCCCCTCAACAAGAGCCTGCGCCGCTCCCGCCCACTCTCCCACTACTCTTCTTTTGGCAGCAGTGGTGGCAGTGGCAGTGGCAGTGGCAGCATGATGGGCGGGGAGTCTGCTGACAAGGCCACTGCAGCTGCAGCTGCTGCCTCCCTGTTGGCCAATGGGCATGACCTGGCAGCGGCCATGGCAGTGGACAAAAGCAACCCTACCTCAAAGCACAAAAGTGGTGCTGTGGCCAGCCTGCTGAGCAAGGCAGAGCGGGCCACGGAGCTGGCAGCTGAGGGACAGCTGACGCTGCAGCAGTTTGCGCAGTCCACGGAGATGCTGAAGCGCGTGGTGCAGGAGCACCTCCCGTTGATGAGCGAGGCGGGTGCTGGCCTGCCTGACATGGAGGCTGTGGCAGGTGCCGAAGCCCTCAATGGCCAGTCCGACTTCCCCTACCTGGGCGCTTTCCCCATCAACCCAGGCCTCTTCATTATGACCCCGGCAGGTGTGTTCCTGGCCGAGAGCGCGCTGCACATGGCGGGCCTGGCCGAGTACCCCATGCAGGGAGAGCTGGCTTCTGCCATCAGCTCCGGCAAGAAGAAGCGGAAACGCTGCGGCATGTGCGCGCCCTGCCGGCGGCGCATCAACTGCGAGCAGTGCAGCAGTTGTAGGAACCGAAAGACTGGCCATCAGATTTGCAAATTCAGAAAATGTGAGGAACTCAAAAAGAAGCCTTCCGCTGCTCTGGAGGTAACGGCGCCTTAGAGGGAGGTGTGTGGGCTCTTGTGTCTGTCTGGCAGTCCAAACCCACCCCCATCCCCTGACACCCCACCTTTCCTACCTGGGCAAGTGTCTGGGGGATGCCCCCCCGTCCTTGGGGTCTGGGGGTCTGGCTTCGAGACACCAGTTTACTGCCCCAAAAGTCAGAACCACATTCTGAGAATTCCATCAGGCCATAATTTGCAAGGCAAGCTTGAAACTCCAGGTAAGGACCTAGCATTCTCAGCCAGGCCCTGGAATTCTGATTCCTCTCCTGGGGTTCTGGGTCAGGTATTGATATTTCCATACAGGTCCTAAGTTTCTTTTTTTTTTTTTTTTTTTTTTTGATACGGAGTCTTGCTGTGTCGCCCAGGCTGGAGTGCAGTGGCCAGATCTCAGCTCACTGCAAGCTCCGCCTTCCGGGTTCATGCCATTCTCCTGCCTCAGCCTCCCGAGTAGCTGGGACTACAGGCGCCTGCCACCTCGCCCGGCTAGTTTTTTGTATTTTTTAGTAGAGACGGGGTTTCACCGTGTTAGCCAGGATGGTCTCGATCTCCTGACCTCGTGATCCGCCCGTCTCGGCCTCCCAAAGTGCTGGGATTACAGGCTTGAGCCACCGCGCCCAGCCAGGTCCTAAGTTTCTGATGCTGAGACATGGCCTAAAGCATCCAGTCCATGACTTAGAACTCTGCGTCTCTCCCCTGCCCTGTTTAAGGGATTCTGTTTCACAGGCTCTGTGCCCTTAAGCCCTTCATTTGCCCCTCCAGGGCCATTTTTCCCCCAAGGCCACCCAAGGATAGAGCTGCTCCAGTGCTGGGTGCCCTGCTCTGAGGCCTGGAAGAACCCTTGGTCTGGGCACCTACTTGACAGATTTTTGGGGCCGGGGTAAGGGAAGGTGACCATGAGCCCAGAGTGGTCAAGGACCTAGCCACTGTGGGATTGGCTTGGAGAAGGCAAGGGGTTCCCATGCTGCTGTCTCTGCATCCCTGTGGCAGGGCCCGTCCCTGTGCCCCTGGATGCAGCAACCTAGCTGGAGTGCCAGGCCTGGGTACAAAAGCATCTTTTCAGCCTGCAGTCCCTGCCCCTATCCCCGCCCCTCTACGAGTGGGCTTGACGCAAATGTCCAGAATGGTTGGAAAACAACAGTGGTGTATCCCAGCCATGGCCTCCTGGTTACCCTCCCCAACCCAACCCCAACCCCAACCCCAGCCCCAGCCCCAGCCCCAGCCCCAGTCCTTCCATTTCTGCTCTCCTATGTACACACAAAGGCACCCACTTTAGTCCAGTGTAGACACACATGCACACACACGTAGACACGGCTGCTTGAGAAATAGCCCAAATACCCACCTCCCACAGCTCCATACCGCACAGCTCAGCATAGCACGAGGCACACACCCATATGCACATCCGCCGCACGTGCTCGCACGCTCATTTACGGAAACATGCCACAGCCACCTGGCGCTGTTGCCTTTGGGCCAGGGGAAGGGTCTTCCTCTCTGGAAGGAGGGTTCCTGGGCACAGTGGCTCAGGAGGCCTCAGAGTCCTCCGGGCCTTCCAGCAGCCCAGCAGGTCGAGCTCCTCCTTTGGCCTGGCTGGGGTGGCAGGAGCTCCGAGGGGTGGCTGCTCTTCCTCCATGCCTGTCCCTCCACCATGAGGCCATCCACGGGGGAACGTCTTTGCTCCAGGCCTACCCGGACCCTGACTGAACTCTCTCCTTGTTTTTGTCTCCTGCCCCCGCCAGAAGGTGATGCTTCCGACAGGAGCCGCCTTCCGGTGGTTTCAGTGACGGCGGCGGAACCCAAAGCTGCCCTCTCCGTGCAATGTCACTGCTCGTGTGGTCTCCAGCAAGGGATTCGGGCGAAGACAAACGGATGCACCCGTCTTTAGAACCAAAAATATTCTCTCACAGATTTCATTCCTGTTTTTATATATATATTTTTTGTTGTCGTTTTAACATCTCCACGTCCCTAGTATAAAAAGAAAAAGAAAAGAAAAAAATTTTTAACTGCTTTTTCGGAAGAACAACAACAAAAAAGAGGTAAAGACGAATCTATAAAGTACCGAGACTTCCTGGGCAAAGAATGGACAATCAGTTTCCTTCCTGTGTCGATGTCGATGTTGTCTGTGCAGGAGATGCAGTTTTTGTGTAGAGAATGTAAATTTTCTGTAACCTTTTGAAATCTAGTTACTAATAAGCACTACTGTAATTTAGCACAGTTTAACTCCACCCTCATTTAAACTTCCTTTGATTCTTTCCGACCATGAAATAGTGCATAGTTTGCCTGGAGAATCCACTCACGTTCATAAAGAGAATGTTGATGGCGCCGTGTAGAAGCCCCTCTGTATCCATCCACGCGTGCAGAGCTGCCAGCAGGGAGCTCGCAGAAGGGGAGGGAGCACCAGGCCGGCTGAGCTGCACCCACAGTCCCCAGACTGGGATCCCCTACCCCAACAGTGATGATTTTGGAAAAAAAAAAAATGAAAGTTCTGTTCGTTTATCCTTTGCGATCTGGGGAGCCCCGTCTCGATATTTCCAATCCTGGCTACTTTTCTTAGAGAAAATAAGTCCTTTTTTTCTGGCCTCTCTAATGGCAACAGAAGAAAGGGCTTCTTTGCGTGGTCCCCTGCCGGTGGGGGTGGGTGCCCAGGGGGCCCCCTGCGGCCTGGGCCCCCCTGCCCACGGCCAGCTTCCTGCTGATGAACATGCTGTTTGTATTGTTTTAGGAAACCAGGCTGTTTTGTGAATAAAACGAATGCATGTTTGTGTCACGAAGCACCGCTGGCTTCTTGCTCTCCGGTTTTGGGGGGCTGACTTGGGGGCCGTTCTTGAGCAGGGGTTGTCTGGGACCACCTGGAGGAGGAAGAAGGATGGCCCAGGGACATTTAGAAAGGGAATTTCTTGGGGAATAGAGGCCTCTGGATCCAGAATGGGCAAGAGCAGGAGCAACCAGCCCAGCAGACAGGAGGGAAAGGCTCTTAATCTGGAAGTCACTGGTACCAGAGTACCTCATCTGCCTGGTTGCACCCCATGCCCCAGAACCTGGACCTCCAGGGACCTTCACTCACCTGGGGCCACCTCTGTTTACCGAAGTTCATCAGCGCCCGATGAGTAAAGCAACCAGCAGCATAAGGTGGGTGGGGGTAAGGCTGAGCCGCCTGTTCAGCGTCTTCTTTCTTTCTTCTTACCTGGCAGGGATCTGGTGTTCCCGAAGCCACCAATGTCATTCTCCAGGGAATAGTTTCAGCTCAGCTTCGTGGGGACCTGGCTGTGCATACACGCCCATTTCTCTTTAGGCCTGAGGGCTGCTAGACTGAGTTATAGGGGTGTCCTTGGCTTTGACTGTCCCCACTCTCAGAGAGTTTGTGGTACAAGGTTGTCGGGGACCTCAGAGGTCAAATGTCTGGGGAAGTCACCACACAACCACATGGTCTGGGCCAGGGCAGCCTGAACAGGAAGGGGTGGCAGTGGCATGCCCCTCCCTGTACATCACAGAGGCCAACCTGAAGGAGGAGGCTTAGCCATCCTCTGGGGGAGTGTTCTTGTCATCCAGCTGCTTTGAGCCTGGCTGAGATGGAGGCTAGACTTGAGGAAGGACTTCCTGACAGTGTTGGGCCCTGGCTTCAGGTGGGTGAGAGCTGGAGCGATTTCTGAGGCTGAGTGAGCAGTGAGGTGGGGGAGATGGGCTATCTCTGCCATTGTCCTGAGAGGAGAAAGCAGCGATGTTGGGTGGGGGTGGCGCTGACCCCCAACCCCTTCCCAGGTGTCACAAGCTCCCTTCGAGCACCAGGGCCTCAGCAGCCTGGCCTGGCACAGCGGGGGCAGGCAGGGGCGGTGGGAGGCAGCTTTCAACTTCAGCTCTGCCTGGGAAAAATTCCCTTTCATGTGGCCGCCTGTGATCTCTCCAGGCGGCTCTGCCGAAGGGGGGTGTCCAGCAGGGAGTAGGGGGAGGCGTTGCAGCTGGGGGGCACCCTCACCCCCAGCACAAGGCAAACGGCGGCACCTCCAGAACCTCGAGGAGGGTGGGGAGAGTCCTCCCGTGGGGAGTGGGGGGAGCCTGGCCAGCAGGGGGCACCGGGCAGGAGGCCCCTTCCTGCCCCCGCCCGCTGCTGGCAGCACACAGGCTGCAGATGGCCTCAGCCGGCCCTCGTTGGCACACCTACAGGTGTGGGGTGGATGGCTCTGGTGCCAGCCCCGAGGGGGTGCTGTGACTCAGCCGGCCTGTACCTTTCAGTGTGCCAACCCACAGCCCAACGCGTCTCCTGAGCCCACTCCCCAGCACACAGCCGAAGCTCAGAGCTCCTCACCTGTTCCAGTTTCACGCTGCTTTGTGGAAATGGTAAGCCAGCCCCTCTGTGTTTGGAGGCCAGGGGTGGGGACAGCTGTGAGGCTGGCTGAAAACATGCTGAGGACTCAGTTACCTCATCTGGGGAACGGGACAATAATTGTTTCCCCCATAAAGTTGCCTGAGGATGAAATGTGATCACACTTGGGAAGGACCTGGCTTGTAGTAAGCTCTGTCAATGGCAGCTGGTGTTGCTATTTTTAAACTATTATTCACCTAAATCTCACCAAGATGTCCCTCACCTTCTGCCTGGCTGTGTGTCCTCCCTGAAGCCCTGGCCACCCCCAACTCCATAGAGTGGCCAAGCCTCTGGCCCTTCCCCTATCTGGGTGCAAGCCGACCCCAGCCTGCACCAGCTTTGTCTGTCTCTGGCTCACTCTCTGCATGTCCTGAAGGTCTCTTTCAGTCCCTGACGCTCCTGTGTCTTTGGGTCTCCATCTTTCCTGATCTCTAAGCCTCTCTGTGTCTCTGCCCCTCCTGTCTCTCTATCTCTATATCTTGTCCTCTGTCTGTTGTAGGCTCACCCCTGCTGTTCCCTGGCTGACGGAGACATCCTTAGAGGCAGGCTCCCTGGCAGGGTTGTGTACCCAATTCCCCTCGCCTCAGGTGCCCTCACCTCTCCTCTGCTACAGTTGGGAAACTGACTTCCTGGTGACCCAGGAGCCTTTCCTCTGGGTGATCTGGCATTCAGAGCCAGCTCTGGACACAGAACGGTGGGGGTTTGAGAGGCTGCGTGCACACACTGGGCTGGAGACAAGTCCAGCCTCCAGGTAGCCCTGCATGGAGAGTGTGTGTGTGTGTGTGTGTGTGTGTGTGTGTGAGAGATGCTTTAAGGGCCTCACAATTGCGTGAGACTTTGTGCAGTAATGTGGCTATGTGTGACATTGGGTATGATATGCAGATGGGTTTGTGACAGTGTATTGGAGACTCAGATGTGAGACCTGTGGCTATGGGTTGGTGTATGTCAGTGGCCACACTTTGGAATGTTCTGTGACATTGCATGTGTGATCTTGTGACATTGTACAGTTCTGTAACAGACCTGGTGTGATACCGGCTTGTACAACTGAATGTGTGACTTTGGGTGATTCTATATGAGTGTGTGACATTGGGTGATTCTATGTGAGTGTATAACTTTGGGTTTACAACACACATTACAACACACATGGCATTGTGTGACCCTGTGGCAAAACTGGGTGATTCAATAAGTGTGTGACTTTGTGTCTGTGTGGCCATCATGGATGTGGGCTGGGACTGACCAGGGATTGTGTGTGTGTGATGTCTCTGTGTGACTATGGTGTGACCCTGGGTCACACCCTGGGTGTGTGGTCATGGCTTTGTGTCAGTGTGCACCTGTGATCCTCTCAGTGATGCTGACACTATTGCCTTGTGTGTCTGCCTCCAGCATTTCCTGGGTCTCCACCCTGAAAGCCGTGCATCTCTGGGGAGAGAGTAGGGGATCTGACAGCCCCTCTCATCCGCAGCCTGCGCCCTCGCATGGCCCTGAGGCCCACTCGGGATGGGGGAGCTGGCGTGGGGGCAGCAGGCGCAGTTCCCACGGCTGCTGCGGCCCCTCTCCCAGCCCCATCACCACCGGCTTCAGCTCCACAGAATATCCTGGCAACCCCGGCCTCTTTGTTCTCTGAGGCCGCCAAAGGCCTCCCCCTACCCCAGCCTGCCCAGCGCCTGCCAGGCGCCCCCTCCCCCGACAGCAGCCAGTCAGCCTGACCTAGTCTCTAGCCGCCTTTATCCCCCACCCAGACTGAGGCCCCTGTCCCATGCCCTGGACTTGACTCAGGACTCCAGACGGGGCCTTTGACCCTCTGCTCTGAGCTTGCTGTGGTTGTGCTGTGCAGGAAGAAGGAAGCAGGATAGGTCCTGCGGCTATACTGGGTGATTGTGGGCCAGGAGCTGGGATGTCTGTATGGGTACTTCCCCTTGGCCCAAGGCTGGTTGGAGGCCCAGGGGTGGTTTCAGTTTGTCCAGTAAGTTTACTTCTTTAGCCCCCGGAGGTCATCAGGACAGGACTATTACCCATTTTACTGGTAAGAAACTGAAGCCTAGAGAGGGTATATGACTTCCCCAAGAACAAGACCAAGATGGTAGCAGGGACCTGATTAGAACCCAGGTTCCTGGCTACCTTGGGAGAAAGACCAGGTGCTTCCAAAAGAATGGAGAGGGGGCCTGGGAGTCTGGACACATGGGTCCCTGCTTATTTTTTGGTCACCATGTGTCAAAGCCATGTTTGTGTTTGTGTGTGTATGTGTGTGTCCTTGCTGAATGACCTTGGCCAAGTGCCCTTACCTCTCTGTGTTCCAAGAAAGAAGGACAACATAGCCAGGGGTTGTGGGGTGGTGAGCTTGACAGGGTGCTTTGCAGAGCAACAAGGTCACCTCACAGTTAGTGCCAAGACCCACACCATCTCCAACAGGGATAGATTCTGGCTCGGGGCCCCAGGCTCAGCCCAGCTCTGTGCTGCCACAAAAAAGGAGGCAGTGATGGCTACATGGCTCGGCTGTAGTCAAGGCCACTTGGGTCTGACCTGATTGCAGCACAGGCTCCCACCCACTCCCAGGTGCCAGAGATGGATGGATGGAGGTCACTGCACAGCCTGGCCCCAGCCCCCCACTGCCCACCCACAGCCCTGGGCTAACCAGGGACTGCTGAAGACAGCCAGCCAGGGTTAGGGGAGGGATAGGCAGCCACCAGCATGGTAATAACCCATACCTTGGCCCTAACACCCTGCAGGCATGGCACAGAGAGGCCCTGCTGTCCCCTAGGGTCACAGAGCCCTGCAGGGAGTCCTGTCCCCAAAGGCCCACATCTCCCTTGAGGGCTGTTCCTGCCACCCAGGAGTAGAGAATGGCTGGGGAGGGTGGTGGAGGTGCAAGAGGGTCCCCCAAGGCTGCCGGCCAGGCTGCCAGTGCAGACACTTTCATCTCTTTCTGCCTGTCGACGTGCCAGCTCTCAGCGGCATTAAATTCCCCTCCTGCCAGAGAACAAGGGCTGCCTCAGATTCCAAGCAGCAGGGTGTGAAGATAGGGCAGTCCCAGAGGAGGTGAGCCGGGTCCTCTAGGGCTCCAGGCTTGGGTGCAAAGCGGCTGGACTCTCAGGGCACAGCTGAGGGGTTCAGGTGGCTGCCTACTGCAGCCTCCCAATGCTTCGTCAGATGCTGCTTCGTTTCCTGTTGCCATCTCCCACCTGTATGATGCCTTCCTCCCGCCTTCGGAGCTTTCTTGTCCCTTGCAAACGGGGTCAAGTGTCCCTTGCCCCCTGCCCCCCACCCCCAGCCCATCACAACACTGGTCATTCTTGGTGACATCGCCTGGTCTCAGGGCTGTGGTCTGCAGCTCAGCAAGGGCAGCGCTGGCACCCGACGCTTGGAAGGGGTAGGAAACATCTGTGGGCTGAGTACCACATTCTCTCCTCTTTC